GTTGTAGCATAGGGGGTGCGCGCGGTAATACGCCTCTATCGGACCCGCACGCGAACCGACATCTTGGGGGGTCTGAGGTCCCAAGCACGACTCATCGTCGGTCGACTAGGACGCATCCCACACACCACGCGCACTCCACTTTACGAACACACATACACACAAAACAACATATATACGAAACGACACAATACCAACAATGCGACAACGCTCCTAGCCCCTCGGTAGCCAACCCATAACTTTCCAGTGCGGAAATCGGATAGGCGTCGCGCGCTGAACTTTAGTATAAAACCGCGCGGACGCAGGGCATACTCATATCGACTTGCAATGCAGGCGTACACAAGCAGTCGCAACGATGGCATACTATGTAGTGCCCATAATCAAGCGGTCCCTCGTGGATCCGAGTACCGCTTATGACACTCAAGTGTCAGACTTGAAGTGTCGTGAGGGCCTAACCCTTCACGACATTGCACGGCTGAAGGAATAGTCGTGCAGCCGCCGCTGCACCTTAGGCTCTCGACCTGAGTGTCTCGGTAGGTAAATCAAATAGGCTCTGCGCGAGGGAAAACCCCTCCCCTGCAGAGCCTAGGGCTTGGGATGTCCTGGACAAGGACCTCGAATCCCAGCCCACCAAACGTCCGACTAAGAAAATTATTAAAAAGCAAGAAACAAGAATAAAAGGAGAGACCTCCCCTAAGCCCCTCAGTCTCAGCTTCTGAGTGGGGCTCTAATGTGGGGGCTCTTCAACCCATGCAAACATTCATTTCAAGTATACCCATGTATACATATATAAGGGTTAAGTATGTGACGATCACTTCTTATGGTTTCGTTGGGGTCTCTCACAATAATACGTATACGTGTGATCGTAGGCAACCAAATCCAGAATCTGATTCACAGCACATACCTGCCATCACATCAATGAACCAAATCAACAGCCCACACACCACACGGAGTCAACCCCAACCACCTTCGACACTCATACCCCTTTGCTTTAGCCATGCAAGCCCCAAACCTCCTGTCCAACCAACCTTAATTAAGTACTCAGCACCTTTGTTAAATGGCCATTCAATAAAAGTCCGGGTGAAACCTTAATAAAACAACGAAATCACCTGGGCTAAAGCCTTTTAGGTTGAGTGTAGAGGGAGAGTTTAAATTGAGTCGTAGACCGACGAATCGTCAACCGACCTGTCATCAGTGATAACAGTAAGTGATCCTTTAAGGGATCAAGCTGGATCTAGCCCTGAACTTGGATCAAATTATCAAAAGGACCTGTAACACACGGCAGACCAATTCCCAAGCTAAGATTATAAGTGTATGGAGAATACAACTCCATAATACATCCTCACTCAAAATTTCCTTATTAGCTAAGCCTAAGTCTACTTTTAAGCCAGTGCTTAAGCCAAAGGTAGACCAACTGCAAAATCTCCCCTATTTTGGGTGGATCGCCTTAATCACCTATCAAAATATAATCTATCTCCTCTAAACTAAGAAAATTTTGGCAGCGCTTCCCGTAGGAAAAGTGCATTTTCATAATTTATATAAGTCGAGATATGAGAGCAGAAATAATCTCTAACTCTGGAAAGTCAAATTCTGTTTGACTCTCTCATTTAGTATAAATTTGGGCAGCACTCCCTTTAGAACTTATAAATGATAAAATATCCAGATCAATGCATTGTATGCAATCTCACCCAACATTATTCCTCTCCAATCACTCATTCAACCCAAGTAACAATTTTCGCATTCCATTGCGACATTGCCGCCCACATCCAAACTCATCAATCACATTGTTGCACCACTCCAATCCGGTCTCGTAGTCCCCCTCATTCTCTAGAGTGCTTCTCTTCTGTCGCCAACTTCCATCGCTGATACGCTCATTCCACCATTCCCTGCAAGACGACCACTTCACTTGCAGGACGATGGGGGAGATGGGGTGGATCAGGAGGTGTATGGGCCTGCGACCCCGAACTCCTCGACTCTCCTGTTCGATCTAGCCTCATCTACGGTATGGAAATCCTCTATTTTATTTGAACTATACCTGTGCAACAATTGTCATACCACCCGTCATAGTAGGTTTTTCCTTGTCTCGGCCACCACCACCGGGTACTAGAGGTGACGAGCCGTTTCGGTAACAAAATCGTTTCCGCACACTCTACTACTTGGCAACACTTTTTCGCATCCACGCATTCCCAAGATCTATGGTTCATGATCTCCACTCAATATTACTGACGGTTTATTTGGACCACAACAACAACATTTTACGACACTCGGGTGGAGTTCGGACTAGACCAAGGACAACGGGCCATCTTAATCAGACCAAGGACAAGGGCTTCAACATTATTCAAAACAGAACAAGGACTAAAACTTCAACAATATTCACGACACTCGATTGGAGTTTGGAACAGGACCTACGAGTGTGAGGCAATTGGGTCAGCACCAAGGACCGAGGAACTTACTTGGAATGCATCTGGACCTCCCCGGCCCGGATGGCACTACTCCCACCGCCCGCGACTGTATAAGTTACCGGCAGTGTCGCAGTGGAGGCAAGTTGAGAAACTTGCTGAATTTGCTGGACTTCCCTTGAACCTCCCTCGGTTGACCGTCCACCAGCTGCAGTTTGCACATACACGAATCTGCAGTCACACAGTCACTTTCGTCAGCTGGTCTGAGGAGAGTCATTTCTCCTTCGCCATTTTTGACGAAGCCGTCCCGCACACCCTCGATCTTCCCACAGTGTGTGGGCCTGCGGCGCACTTAGTGCCAACCAGCAGTGATAGTCCGCTTGA